TTTTTTGATTTTACAGTCTTTTCTGATGTTTCAGTAAGTAGTTTATAATACATTGGATTGTTTTGCTTTACAAAATTTAATTCACTTTCAGTAAATTCTCCTTCTTTTGAAATAAATTGTAAAAGTAGTTTCAGTTAGAATAACTCTCTTTACTATCAACCATTTTACTATTCATTGAACGATGAGAACCATTCATATCTTTCTATCATACTTGTTCCTCTTTTTAAGTTCATCTTTTGAAGTTCTACAACCATAACAATATCACTTTTCTTCTTATTTACTAGAAACTTAAAAAACATAAATATTACATCCTAACAATGGAAAAGAAAAAAGGGGTTAAAATTGTAATGGGGGAAGTTAAGAAAGAAGGGGAAAATACAATGTTAAATGAAGTTATCCCAAGATATTATAATTGTTGTATGTGTTGTCATTCACAATTAGATAATCCCCGAAATTATTGTGTTTTTTGTTTAAGTCAAAGAGTTGCAGAAAGAGGACAAAAGATAGATAAACAAAAAGAAGAAATAACAAAAATTAGACAACGTAATCATGAAATAGAAAAGATGTTAAGTGAAAAACTTTGTTCAATGAATAAAGAAACAGATATTGTTGCGAATACAAATGTATTATTTAACCAAATTCAACAAAATGAAATGGCAATATCAGTTATTGAAGTGAAAGAGAAAGATGGAATTAGAAAAGGGATTGAACATATGAAAAGAATTAATAAATGTCTTGTTGGGATGAAAAAAGCTATAGAAAGTACAATTTCATTAGAGTTTGTAAAAAAGATTTCAAAAGATAAAATAAATATAATAAACAAATAGGAAAGAATATTATGGAATGGTACAAGAAACAAATAGACTTATTCAACTTCAAACATTTCTAAAAGAACAAATTATTATTAAAAAGAAACAACAAATAAAACGAGTGAATGAAATAATGATGGTTGAAATAATAAAAGGAGAAAAAGGTATAAAAAAAGAAGGTGAAGAAGAAGAAAGACCAATTGAAGGAGAAAAGAAATTATATAAAATAGTCAATTTTAATATTCAATCTAATTCTAAAATGTTTACAACAATCAAAACAGGAAATTTATTTATTAATTATTTATATTTATTATTAAAAGAATATACATATATTATAGAAATACCATGTACACTTATAGTAATTAGTAAAGGAAATGAAATACCAAATAGTATTATTAGAAAAGCTAATTTAAATAAAAGTGGAGGAAATGATAAAATAACTATACCAACAGTAAATTTAACATTTTCACATCAAATATTTAAAATATTTTATGATGAATTTAAACAACTTTATTGTATTCAATATAAAACACCAATTGAAGTAGAAGGAGAAAATTATGTTGAAAAGATTATTAAATTATTACAATACTTTAAGTCATTTTAAAAGATAAAGAGATAATTCAAAGATTCACAAGAAATGTTTTTTTATACAAAAATAACTAAATAATAAACTTGAAAAATAAAAATAATGAATGATAAAATAAAACTTCAAGAAAAATTTGAAAGTCAAGCACAAGAAATAATTACTGAAGAAATATTTTACCAACATAAAAATCAATTATTTATTGTTGGAGAAAATGGAAAACCTGTATTTTCAAAATATGGTGATGAAACAAAAATGTCAACATTATTAGGAGCATTTTCAGCATTAGTTTCATTAACAATAGAAGATGGAAAAGAAATTGAGATTGAAGGTGATACTAAACGAATATTTATTGATATTCGTGGACCATTTATTTTTATTAGTATGAATAATAAAGATAAAAGTATTTCAGAAATTAGAAGATATCATGAATTTATTGAACATCTTATTTATCTTTATATTCCATTAGATATTTTTGAAAAAAGATTAGAAGAAAATCCAGCATTTGATTGTAGACAATTAACTTCTACAAAAACAAAAGAAATTAAAATGGGAATATATCAATTTAATACATGGATAGGTGGGATGATTGGTAAAGTTGAAATTGAATATTGTTCAATTAGACAAAGTATAGGAAATAGTATTAGTAATATTGTCACAGAAGGAAATATAGGAATTAAAAATAATATTATTATGGTTTTATTATATAATGAAAAGAAAATAATTAGTTGTAATGGAAAAAAAGGATTTTCATTAACACCAAATGATATGAATGGAATTATTAGTTATGGGAATGAAAATGAAGGTGATGGGGAAGTTGGAATGCCAGAATTAAGTAAATCAGGAAAATTAAAAATTTGGACTATTAATATTGGTGTATTGAAAATGGCTGTTATTTATCAAACTGAAGATTATTTTCTTGAAGTTAAAATTATCACAGAAAATATTAATCAAGAAATAGATCATTATTACAACACATTAATTGCATCAATAAATAATCCTCCTGTTCCTGATTTATACACAAATCATTTGTTATTATTTTATACTTTTATTGGAGATAATTTTATTTATTCATCTCCATTAAATGATTTATATAAAGACAGAAAACAAGAAAAAAGAATTAAGTCTTTATGTACTAAATTATATTATGAACATAAAGAATTTAATACTGACAATTTATCTTCTTCAAAAAGATGTGCATTTACTACTGACCTTGAAACAGTTGCATTCAAACAAACTCAGAAAGGTTTATTAATTGGAATCTTTAATTTTATTGTTGACATCCCTTCTTCTATTGATTATTTAAATCAACTTGATAAATGGTTTAACTATGACAACATTACCTATACTCAATATGACTTATCTTAAAATCTTTTCTTTTTCTTTTTGGGTATTTATCAATGACATTAAATTATTAAAACAGTCATATCTAAATAATACAACAAACATAAAATACAAACAGAACCATTTCATTACTTTTCAAACAAAAGTTTTATTTAAAAAATAAATAATCATAATAATACTACATTGGATAGAAGTTATCCAGTTGATTGAGAAATAGCATCTAGGATAAGTAAATGAAAGGCATCAAAATAAGAGCCTTACAAATAATACATAAATAGAAAATCATAGCATTGTATCTACAAAAATAAATAAACAATTAATAGGTAAAAACAAATAACCAAATTAGAATAAAGAAAAAATAGATAAAACAGAATTTATCTTATTAAATCAAAAAGTGTTATATCAGATAAATTAGATTGAATCATTAATCATTGATATTATTTACTACTTCAGACAAAATGAATATACAATATAATTTGAAATGTTACAAAAACTAAATTAGAACCTTTAATAATAAACAAAGAAATGAACGTCTTATAAGAAGTTTGAGTGTTTATAAAATTACATAATTGTTATTCATGATTAAGTCATTCAAAATATTCTTTGTTATAATCAGAATAACACAGAAATAGTGAAAATTCAATGATTGGTGTAATAAAAGAAATGAAGTATTTAGAAATCCAATAATTTAACATAAAAGTAATTTCTTTGGATATTCTATTGGATGGTATGATATTATGACAATCATCTAGTATATTCAAAGGAAAGAACATTACAAATCATGAAAGAAGAAAAAGAACCACAAAACTACCATTACATCTTAAAATGATTTCCATCTCTAATAAAATAGAAATAAAGTAATAATTCATTGATTTCTGTTGATATAAAACAATAATTTGCAAAGTAAAAGAAATAATTATGAAAATATCTGATTTCAAAAATTATTTAAACTAATAAGGTATTAACTAGACATACATGACATAATAATGTTTTTGATATGTAGATCATCATTAAATATTAAAATATATCAAATTTCAAACAATATACATGTATCATTAATATAAGATATCATTAGAGTGGTATTATAATAAAGAGTATAATCCAAGCGAAATTTATTCTTTCTTTATTCTAGTAATAAACATTATTTCAATAAAAATATTAATTGTAATATTCAATGAAACATCCTAGTATTGTTATGTATATTGAATAA